GTACTCATTATAATGTGTGGTCCGGCACCAGTTCTATATCCAAGGCACAGCAAAGCTCATGACAACTTGGATTATGGCATCACACATTCTATCAGCCTGCGTTCTATGTGAATAATCATCACCTTGGCTGGGCCGGTGAGGGGGATCGGGCAACGTCGCCCAGAGCAGACTTTCCAGTTCCACTGCCTCATGATTGATTCATTGGCCAGAGCATCTCCCTCGCCGGCTGTCAAGCCAGCCTCCCATCCTGAGCAATTTACACAGCAAGGCTGTAATCTGGGCCCACTATCTTTTCAATTAGCCAGGAAAGGTGGGAGGCAAGCTGCGATGCCACTGAAGGATGGGGTGGGGGGACAAGAAACAGAATGGGTGTTTAAAGTGCTTCGGAGCCAACAGCAAGGGCAAAGTCAAGGAGACATTAGTCTGAGATGTGCTGCACTTAGAAGATGCTCTCCCAAAGCACAGCCCACCCGGTTCCTTCCCATTTCATCCCATAGGATCAGGAGTGGGCAGGGGATTCTGTTTGAGCATGATCTGTGGCAGGAAGCACATGTTGACAGTGGGTGGAGGCAGAGCCCAAAGGGGGTACATCACCCCCTCTCTCTACCCCCTCTCCTCTCTCTCTCTTTCTCTCTGTCTCCCATTTTTTCCTTCTTTCTACCACTATGAAATTAGGCCAGAGGTAGGGAACCTGTGGCCCTTCAGATGCTGGTGGAACTTCAGCTCCCATCATCCCTGACTACTGGTCATGTTTGCTGGGGCTGATGGGAACTGGAGCCCCACAGTATCTCTGGAGGTCCATAGGTTCCTCATTCTGGCATTTCAGAAAGCAACAAGGAAGTCTGTTGTGGGCTGCAATTCTGCACACATTTACCTGGAGTAAGTGTGACCCCCATCTGACTCAATGGGGGTTACATGTGGGCAGATATGCATAGGATTGCACTGTCAGCAAACTCTCAGAAGGCAGAGAGTGAGGTAGGCTGCAATCCTACACCTGCTTACTCAGGAGTAAGTCCCATTGAACTCTGGAAGTTGAAACTGAGAGAGAGAATAACCTGCCTTTGGCCCCCTTGGCCCCCTCATAAGCTCATGGCAGAGGTGAGATGCAAATCAGGGACTCCAACTTTTGTAGCTTACTCGAAGGCACTGCTCCATATCTCTTACTGAGATTGCTGGCATTAACTTTCTTGTGGTCAGGCATTAACTTTCTTGTGGTCCAGAAAATAAGTAATTTAAAATTGGAAATGGAAAAGAGAGTTTGTTTTTAATTGTTTTGTGTTTATATTGTTAAGTTTTGTATTGTTTTTTGTGTGTGTTGTTTTTCTTTTTTTGTTGTTTAAAACTTTAATAAAAAAATTATTAAAAAAAAAAACTTTCTTGTGGTCAGGGCCAGACTCCTTCCATGTGTCCATGTAGAATCAGTTACGCAAAAGTGTTATGCAAAAGTATGCAAATGTGATGGGCTTGCACAAACAAAACACATCTTACAGAATCCAGCTCCTCTTAACAGTGGGGCAGCCTCTTCCATGGTAAGTGTTTTGGAGCCACAGAAGAATTCAATCATTCACCTTTTTTTGTTTACTGGGAATAAACAGAAGAAAATCCTTTCCTGGGCTTGAGTCCGACCCTTCGCTGCAAGCTTCTGAGCATTAATTAATTATATATAGATTTTGTATATGAAGTATCAGTCCTTCATTCTGCTTAGAAACACAATCTTATACAAACAGGATTCTAGTGACATTAAAGTGGTACTTAAAGCCATCACCTTAATGGCCCTTTAATCATACTAAATTATCATATAAAGCAACTATGCTTTATAGGTATCATTTAAAAAAGAAAAGGCATATCCTTGCCCCCCAAAGCTTACCATCTAAAATTTCAAGTGAGGGAGGGTAGTTGACAGAGTCAAGTGTAATGGGCAAAGAGCAGTGTAAACACAGTTACATGGACTAAGGGTTGATTTCTATAACAGGTGAGGATTAATAGCTTTGAAGGATAAAAAGGATTTTCAGGAGGGATTTCAAGGGCAAGAGAATAGGCATTCTGAAGGAGAGCTGCGGGCATCAGAGGGAGCTTAATTAGAGCTGGGGGGTTAGTCTGACTCTTCGCTATTGCTCCTCTCTTGAGGGTGTGAGGGTGTGTGAGTAAGAGGCAGCAACAGAGAATGCACAGAGTGCATTTCCAGAACCAATGACTCCATGCACACCAGGACTAGAGAGGAGGGGCACACAGGGGATCTTCAGGAGGTGCAGCTGGCAAGACAGCCTCCGCTTTCTGAAATCTGCTCTTCTGTGCAGGAAGGGCAGAAGCACCCCCACCCTCTTTTTGAATCTGGCCACCCTGAAGGTATTAGAACCCCCAGCGTAACACCGTTGTCTTGCAGCTTGTCCACACCTCCCAAAAGAGAATAGAGTTAATTGCACAAATTAAAGTGCTATTTCCCTTGACTGCACAATTCTTTCACATAGCAAAAGATCAGCAGCTTCCACAAGGTGCAAGAAACATTTAGTCAGCCCAATTTCTAATATGCTTCCTCCCCAAGGGCTTTGGGTTGGTAACAACGCCTGGAACACCCACTGTCCAAAACCAATTAAAAGGAATAAAGGAAATGCATGTTTACTCAGAGGTAAGTTCAGGGCCAGCCCAAGAGGCTAACCACAAAATGGCACCCCTCTCCAGGAAAGAAGGAGTGAGTGGAGGTCTACACTGGGAACAGAGGGCAGAGAATCAATCAACCTTACATGAACATTGAAGTAGGATGTAGCCTACCTTGATTTCAGCAAGACATTTGACAAGGTGCCCCATGATATTCTTGTAAAGAAGCTGGTAAAATGCGGTCTTTTTTTTTTTTAATATAATATTTATTGGTTTTACAAAGATTCCAAAACATACAAAAATACAAGATTTCAAAGACAAAAAACAACAATAACAGTAACAAAAGGAAAACAAAAAATAACAATAAGCATAAAAAAGAAAGAAAAAAAAGAAAAAAAAAAGAAACAGAAAAATTTAAAAATTTATACTTTCATTTAACCTTCTTATCTTTCCTTGGTTCTTTGACTTCCCCGCACCTCCCCACTTGTATTTCCTTTTAGAAACTCCTTTCAGCAAATCCTTACCCTCCTTCCTTTATCTTAACTCAAGAAACTTAATCTATTTATATATAGATATTTTTACAACCTTATCAATCAAATATTCCATGCTCTTAAACGCAAGGCTTTTGCCAATACCAGTTATTTTCAATCAGACCTCAATTTAACATTCATTAATTTTATAGTATTTCTGTAGATAGTCTTTAAATTTCTTCCAATCTTCTTCCACCGACTCTTCTCCCTGGTCACGGATTCTGCCAGTCATTTCCGCCAATTCCATATAATCGATTACCTTCATCTGCCATTCTTCCAGAGTGGGTAAGTCTTGTGTCTTCCAATACTTTGCGATAAGTATCCTTGCTGCTGCTGTTGCATACATAAAGAAAGTTCTATCTTTCTTTGGCACCAATTGGCCAACAATGCCCAGGAGAAAGGCCTCTGGTTTCTTTAAGAAGGTATACTTAAATACCTTTTTCAACTCGTTATATATCCTTTCCCAGAAGGCCTTAATCTTTGGGCACGTCCACCAAAGTCTTGACTATGCTACCACTCAGTGGATTTGTAACTGGCTGACTGACCGAACCCAAAGGGTGCTCATCAATGGTTCCTCTTCATCCTGGAGAAGAGTGGGGTGCCACAGGGTTCTGTCTTGGGCCCGGTCTTATTCAACATCTTTATCAACGACTTGGATGATGGACTCAAGGGCATCCTGATCAAATTTGCAGATGACACCAAACTGGGAGGGGTGGCTAACACCCCAGAGGACAGGATCACACTTCAAAACGACCTTGACAGAGTAGAGAACTGGGCCAAAACAAACAAGATGAATTTTAACAGGGAGAAATGTAAAGTATTGCACTTGGGCAAAAAAAATGAGAGGCACAAATACAAGATGGGTGACACCTGGCTTGAGAGCAGTACATGTGAAAAGGATCTAGGAGTCTTGGTTGACCACAAACTTGACATGAGCCAACAGTGTGACACGGCAGCTAAAAAGCCAATGCAATTCTGGGCTGCATCAATAGGAGTATAGCATCTAGATCAAGGGAAGTAATAGTGCCACTGTATTCTGCTCTGGTCAGACCTCACCTGGAGTACTGTGTCCAGTTCTGGGCACCACAGTTCAAGAAGGACACTGACAAAGTGGAACGTGTCCAGAGGAGGGCAACCAAAATGGTCAAAGGCCTGGAAACGATGCCTTATGAGGAACGGCTAAGGGAGCTGGGCATGTTTAGCCTGGAGAAGAGGAGGTTAAGGCTGATATGATAGCCATGTTCAAATATATAAAAGGATGTCACATAGAGGAGGGAGAAAGGTTGTTTTCTGCTGCTCCAGAGAAGCGGACATGGAGCAATGGATCCAAACTACAAGAAAGAAGATTCCACCTAAACATTAGGAAGAACTTCCTGACAGTAAGAGCTGTTCGACAGTGGAATTTGCTGCCAAGGAGTGTGGTGGAGTCTCCTTCTTTGGAGGTCTTTAAGCAGAGGCTTGACAACCATATGTCAGGAGTGCTCTGATGGTGTTTCCTGCTTGGCAGGGGGTTGGACTCAATGGCCCTTGTGGTCTCTTCCAACTCTATGATTCTATGATTCTATGATTCTATGATTCTATGATTCTATGATTCTAAGTGGGAATCAAAGGCCATCATAGGAGGAAAATCATACCAGGTGAGTGCAGAGCCCAGAAGAGCACAGTGGGCAGCCTCTGTCACTTCCTCCCTAGTGGTGAGAGGAGACCAGCAGCACATCCTATTTGCCAGGAAGTCACTACAGAGGTGGTATTGGGTTGGCTGCCAAGGAAATGGCAGATCTGGCCTCTAAGGAGAGTGCTGCAGCTGTCACTGCCATCATGGCGGCATTCATTGGAGGATGGATCTGCATAAGATAGCTCCAAGCAATTAGGAAAGGACTGTAGCTCAGTGGCAGAGTGCCAGCTCTGCACGCAGAAGATCCCAGGTTCAATCCCCAGAATCTCCAGGTGGGGCTGTCAAAAACCCTGGAATAGTCACTGCCAATCCATGCTTGTTTGGAATCTCTGTATTTCAAGGCAGTTGTGGAACAAGTAAAGGTGGGTTATTGAAATATACTTGGAGTTGCACAGTAATTTCATGCTCTTTATTGCAGCTCATAGAACAGAAGTTAAGTTTCCCCCCAAACCTCAGGCTTTATATACATTATTTACACAATGGGTCCCGTCTGATTGGCTGATTCTGCTTTCTGCTTCCCTCCTGGAGCCTGATTGGTCTTTTCCTGCAAGCCAATCAGTTGTTGCATTCTAGGATCCTACATGCCTATTGTTCTAGGATCCAAGCTTAGTACATAACAGTTATCATCCTTTTTATCTTCTGGAAATCATTTTAGGGTCACATGGCAAGCAAAATAATGATCCAATATGGCAATTCTCCTCATGTTCTTATCACGGTATTCCAGAGTACAAGAAACATAGTTCTACTGTTTGTATATGAGAATTTATAGCAAAGCATGGCTTTCTATCAGCTGAGCCAAGGCTGTTTTTATGGCTATCTCCATATTGTTTATATATTGCTCAGTGAATTTATTACTTGGTTTATTACAATGGCTTTAAATATTGCTGTGCACTGCTTTGAGCATTTGTTGTTGTTGTTTTTTGTTTTGTTGTTTTTTAAAGGCAGAAAACATAAAAAAAAGGCTATTCTCAAGCCCCTTCCACACAGTGGGAGCTTTGCTGGATCAGGCCAGTAGCCCATCTAGTCCAGCATCCTGTTCTCTCAGACCAACCAGACACCCATGGGAAGACCACAAGCAAGACCGGGATGCAAGAACCCTCTCCCCTCCTGCAAGCTCCAACAACTGCCTCTGACAGGGGAGGCAGAACAAAGCCATCCTGACTAGTAGCCATTCATAGCCTTACCCTCCATGAGTTTGTCTAATCTTCTTTCAAAGCCAGCTGGCCATCACTGCCTCTTGCGTGAACAAATTCAATCGTTTAACTATGTGCTATTTGAAGAAGGGTTTCCTTTTATCTGCCCTGAATCTTCCAACGTTCAGCTTCACCGGATGTCCACCAGTTCTAGTGCTAAGTTACTAAAGACAAGGAAGCCCATCTGCCCAGATCAGATGACATTTACTGTCCAGATACTGATTAGTAGAGGGTGGGGAGACAACCAATTAAGAAAAACTCAGCCACATATCAGAAGCAGCAAAGAACACACACATTTGTTATTTTGATAAATGACATACCACTAGGGAGGAAAGTGCTTGCTGTATCATGCATTTAAAAAGAAGAAGAAGAAGAAGAAGAAGAAGAAGAAGAAGAAGAAGAAGAAGCAGCAGCAGCAGCAGCAGCAGCAGCAGCAGCAGCAGCAGCGGGGACCCGCTAGAAATCCCAGGCGGAGGAAGCCTGGGAACGTGGGGTTCGGCAGGGCACCAGAAGCGCCCCCCTACTCACCGGGAACCCCTTTTTGGGGCGCCGGATCGAAGCGGGGTGAGCGGCGCGGTGCTGCGAACTGATTGCTACTTTCACGGAGTGAAGCCGCACAGCCATTGCCAGAGAGCGCTGACTTTTTCCTGTGGACAATTGGATTTAAAACAAGTACCCGTGAGTAGAAACGGAAAATTGGATCAAGAAATATCTTAATCTGGCATCGAAGCGGGAAGGTTCAAAACAGGAAGTCCGCCTTCCGCTTTTTGTATATAGACTAAAGCAAAAACTTTGTAAGCTAAAGCCTGGAAAGCTGTCAAAAAAGTCTAAATTTCCTTCATTCAGAACTACTGAAACCCCCTTGGAAGCAGGAGAAAAGGGGGGGATTTTGTTTAACCCCTGCAGGAGAGGGAGTGAGAAGGATGAGTTTCCACCGTCTCTAACCTGGGAACGGGGTGTCAGAGACAGAAATTGTAGGTTCATTGACTGTGAATGGAATATTTTGACAGATAATTAAAGAAGAGAAACAAGCTGATTCCAATGTTGCCTTTTACATCTTAAAGAAACAAAATATCCAGAAAATATCCGAAAAACGAAAGTAATTTTCCTTTGTTGGACTTGCCTTAAAAAAAAAAAAATGGATACAAATAGAAATTGTCTCCTCTAGAGGGAGCTTGTTAAATTGTTGCAACAGTATACTTGAGGACTCAACAGCTGTGAGATTAAGACCGTGGGAACAGTCTTTTCTGACCTTGCCTAAAGATGAGCTGGGAGGAAGATTGGGTGCTTGCCTTATGCAAGACAAGTGCCCTGTTGGAACAGATGCATGAGAAGATGGACTTGATGAATGAAAAAATGGATTTGACTGTTGTGGTTAATAACTGTGGACAAACAGGGAACATTGATACAGAAATTATTCAGGGACCAACTCATGAATCTGTACTGACTGGGCAAGAACAGAAGATAATGGAGGAGGATGCAGTTGCACCTCAAATAATATAAATGGAGAGACCCGAGGCCCTACAGGAGTATAACCTGCTGTCATTGAAGATTGACGTTGGAATGGGCCAGGGGGAGTCTGGAGCTGAGGAGGTTCCCAACTTTGGAGAGACCTTGAAATATGTTCTTAAATACTTTTTGGATTTTATCGAGGACTGTGGGGAGTGGGACTTTGGGGAATGGGTGGGTTTGATGAAGGGAGACGGAGACAATTCTGGGTTGGAACCCCGCAGAGAACTACTCCTCAATGAGAAAGGAAAGGAATTAAGAAAGAGACCAACAAAAGACAAGGAAAAGGGCAAGTATAAACAAGAAGAAGAAGAAATGCAGAAGGGACATGGAAGAGACTTAAGGGCCTCGGACATAAGGCTTCCAGGTTGATGGACTAGATGGACTGGATAGTAAGGACTGACACGATCCGAGACCAGGAAGATGAGACGCTGGATGAAGATTAGAAGAAAATTTATAAAGGAAACTTTTTATTTAGGGAATTAGCTAAAAATTAATGAATATTAGGGAAAATGTTGGAATGAAACTATATGACTCTAGCAGAAATGATATCAGGAGTTATGTATATTTGAAAACTAAGATCTAAGCTTTAAGGTATTTTAGGGTAAGATAAGGCTAAATAAATTAAGGTAATTTGAATAACAGAATATGGGGAAAGATGGTAAGGATTTGCTGAGCTAATTATTAAGTTAAACTGTCAAGATAATTTTTTTAACAAAAATTGAGAAAGATGGAAAGAATTTGCTGAAATAACTAATTAAATTAGAATACAAAAAGGGAGGTGTGAGGAGGTCAATGAAACAAGCAAATGGAAGTTATAGATATGTAATTTGGGATCTATGTTGTTTTCCTTTTTCTTTTGTTTTCCATTTTTCTTTTTTTGTTTTGTTGTATTGTTGTTGTTTTTTTCTATGAATTATAGTGTTGTTTTTAATTTTTCTTTTTTCTTTATAACTTTGAAACTACTAATAAATATTATTTTAAAAAGAAGAAGAAGAAGAAGAATTTGTACTTGATTTCCCTCCTTTCACTCCCCTTCAGGAGTCTCAAAGCGGCTAACATTCTCCTTTCCCTTCCTCCCCCACAACAAACACTCTGTGAGGTGAGCGGGGCTGAGAGACTTCAAAGAAGTGTGACTGGCCCAAGGTCACCCAGCAGCTGCATGTGGAGGAGCAGGGAATCAAACCCGGTTCACCAGATTATGAGTCCACCACTTTTCAAATTAACATGGGCAGCTGCAGCATGTGAAGCAGCAAGTGGTGGCCTAGAGAAGACTCCGCATTCCTGTGCATGCATCAAAACACACGCGCACTGGAGGACTAAAGATGATCGCATGCCTGCCCCACATGGAGACTCAACTTCCAGAGACCGTACATTCTAGTAAGCAGATGAACAACCCTAGTGAAACATCAAGTGATCATCACTAATCATTAGCAAGTAAACAATAAGGTGGTCAACTCAGCCATTGTTATTATATACATGCATAGCCATATCTTACTATATAATATTTTTACAAAAAAAGAGTTGTCATGCTGCTGTTTGTGTGGCCACCACTAGGTGGCCACACAAACTGCAGCATGACAACATTGGACACGGCAACTGAGTGGAGCAGGAAGGGCAGCAGTAGAAGCAAGCAGGCGAGCAGAGCGAGCAGGTTTGAAATGGCCCATCAGGCCTTCCCATGTTCCCCGTAGTCATTGTGGCTGCCACACACCAGTCCACTTGCTTATTTGCTCACATGTGTGCATAACAAAGCGAGGCAAGCCTGGGGTCCAAGCAAGCAGGCAGCCTGGCTGAGTGAGAGAGTGAATTGGCAGGTGGTCCAATGGCATGAGCAAGTGGGCAGCTGGGAGGGCAGCACAGGCAAGCCTTCACGTGCTCCCCACCACTGTCAGCTCACCACAGGTTGAAGTCTATCTCCCCTTAGTGTGCTGCCGGCAGAAGGGAGTCTGCATTTCAAAATGTGCACTTCATTTGGGCAGCACCGGAGGAAGAAGGAAAGAAAGTCTGTCTCCTCTTCATTCCTCTCTCCTCTGTGAACTGTTGGGGGAGGGGCAGCTTTGGGGATTGGAGGGGAGGGGGCTAAAGGAGATTGAGTGGGTAAGGGTTGAAGGGTCTGAGAGGGAGGAAAGGGAAGTGTGGGGAGCACAGCAAACAGGCTGGCAGTGTATCTGATGGATAAGCCTGGCCTTCTAAGGCTGCTGTGAGGATATTCTTCAACAGCCATATAAGGCAAGTTGCAATAATTGTTTTATTATTACTTGATGTTGATGATGATGATGATTTCTTGCCCACCCTTCACCATAAGGTGCAAGGGTACGTTACAGCTATTTGAAAATGCGATGTCTAAAACAAATTAAAACAGATTACAGTTACAAGGATAGAATGGGTCCTAACATATATATCTCAGGTGTTGATGACCAGCATTAAGAGGTGCATCCTCTAAAACAGGCATAGGCAAACTCGGCCCTCCAGATGTTTTGGGACTACGGTTCCTATCATCCCTGACCACTGGTCCTGTTAGCTAGGGATCATGAGAGTTGTAGTCCCAAAACATCTGAAGGGCCGA